GTCAGGCCACACATCCAATTTTCCTTATGCTTCTAGCGGTCACTACCTCAGGTCATTTTAGTGTGGTGAACAGATTATTGTTGTCCTTGTGAAAACAAATAAAAAGACAACCAGCACCAGGGGCATTATTTGCTTCCATTTGCCAGAAAAAAAGTTTTGTAATCCCTCACAGACGGCCGCATCAAGCGAATCCCATAAACTGATTCGCAGCCTCCAGGGAGATTTCATCACAGTTAAGATCTGCCCAAACCCAAGCTTTGCGAGTCCTGCATACCGGACTCAAATTGAAAGTTAAAGCCACAGTCTTAGGAGGGCATGAGGCAGCACTTTGGCATGCTGTGGAGGTGGGACAAGTGGATAAAGCCAGCTTTCCAGTTCCCCACATCTAATGCTCCCCTGCTTCCCCACTCATAGCTCCCTGTGCCTTGCCATGTAACGTACAGCAGAAACCCAGCTGGATAAACAGGGGTGTTGGATAAACAGGTGTGTCTCAAGATTTCCATGTTACAGAGTCTCACAGTTGATCGTGGTAGACACTGGGTACAGCATGGGATCTACAGTCACCTGTGAATAAGTGGGCTGGATCACACAGGGACTTGCCGTAGGCTACAAGTGTTCACACCGCCAAATCCTGCATTTCTTCATTTCCCCAAGTCGTGCCACAAGCTTGCATCTTCTAGGACTCGAGCAAAACAGCACTGGTGGCAATAATAAAGCTCAATTTTGATAGAGATTTAAATTCCTTTTTTTCTGGGTCATGAATTGTGCCAGTTGCACAATAACAGAGGTTATGTGCTGGGTGAGTCAGGTGAGCAGGAAATCTCGTCTGAATAAGGCAGTGAGCGGTGCAGGGAGAACTCGGGAAACAGATTCACATTAACTGAGCACAGGCAGGAACTGGCAGCTGCTCCTGACTTAGAAGAACTGCTGCTATTTACACCACACACAGCCCCAGGCCTTCTTGTAATCTTCAGTAGGCACAAACATTAATGGTAAAATTTGGTAGTGTGCACAAAGTTTTCCCTAAAAAAAACCCACAAACCCAACCCCCAAAAAAACAAAACTGGAAAGAATCTGAAGGTAAGAACCAGTGGCTTTAGCTTGGTATTATCCTTTCTATGGCACACAGAATAGGGTCCCAGTTGGTACAAAATATAGCGAAAAGAGTCACAGCGACGAAGGTGCCCAGGATGTGGAGGCGGCTCTTCATCATGGGCGAGACCAAGTTGGCAATGGTCACCAAGTCCCACAAGAGGACCATCATGAAGGTGCACTTCTCCGGAAGGACTAGGGCGTTCACAGTGTCCGTCTGCAGGTCCTGCTGCTACTGCTGATGCAGCTCACCGATGGCCCCGCAGGACTGGTTCCCATTGCTGTCGGCAGAGCTCGACGTGCCAGTGGAACCCTCGTTGTCGCTGTATTTGGGTTTGTTTACAACGGTGGTGCTGCCTCCGTAGGCCCTGGCACTGGTCTCTGGCCGAAACTCTTCTAGGGAGTTTTTTAAGTGAGTGATGTTGTCAGCACTGCCAAACTTATTCCGGATCAAGTTGGCAAATTCTCGGGACTTGAGCGACACCCCCGGCATGGCCGACTTACTGCTCTCCAGGCTGTGGGGAGCAGTTCGGGGCTTGGCGTGGGCATCTTTCAGGGTGTGCTGCATGTCCTTGAGGTTGTCTTTGGAGCTGTCCTTGGAGCTCCTGGGGGCTCCATTTTGTTCGATCTCTCTGAGCCTTCTTTGATATTTATCGAGCTTCTTCTGCAGCCAGGCAATGGCGTGAGCTGATTTCTGGTTCTTCTTCTCAAAGACCCGCTTGATCCGTCTAGCCTGTTGCTTGTCTGCGCTGCTGACCAGCTTCAGGAATTCGGCAACGTTGTCATCTCGAGAGGTTTGCTCGATTTGGATCTGCTCCGTTACCTTTAAGATCTTTTGTTTCAGCCTGTCTGCATTGATTTTGACGTTGAGAAGGTCCAGGCTGCCGTCAGGGATGTCAAAATTGAGGTTGGTGTCTGAGCCCCCTCGGCATATGTTCAGGGGCAGGCTTAAGGCATTCATGTTATGACGTTCTACCTGAAGTTGGCTCCCGAAGTTGTCACCAGCACCTCTAGTTGAGAACGATGGGTAGTTTCCTCCTGTAGTACTTGCAGCTTGGAAAGCTACTAACAGTCTGTCAGCTCAGGGCAGTGAGTTTGAGTTTTGAGATATGTGAAGATTAAGGAGGAG